TAAGGGTCCCTTCAACCAAGGGAATCTGCAAAGCATTGTCCACGTGTGGCTCCCATCTCTCTGTAGTGACTCTGTACTATGGGTCCATATTTGGGCAGTACCTCTTCCCAACACTGAGCGATTTCATTAACAAGGACATCATTTTGGCTCTCATGTACACGGTGGTCACACCCATGTTGAACCCCTTTATCTACAGCTTTAGGAACAAGGACATAAAAAGGGCCCTGGGGAAACTCTGCAGTAGAGTAATATTTTTCTTACAGTGACACCCAACTTTTATTTAAATCAGAACCTCATTTTGATTCATCTCTTGTATTTGATTTTCCATTTGAGTATAACTAAAAGCTTTAATGTCTCCAAACCCTAGGAAAAATGATGGCATGTTGTATTTACCTGACAAATGTTCGTTGACCAGAATTTCATTCCCTTATTAGCAGTACTCTCCTGGTGTGGAGTAAAAGGAACCCTCTGCACTGTTGGTAGAAATGTAAGTTGGTTCAGTAACTATGGAAAACAGGATGGAGGTTTCCCAGAATTTCCATATGATTTAGCAATCCCACTCCAGGACATATATCCAAACAAAACTGTAATTCAAAAAGATATGTGCACCCTTATTATGTTCATAGCAACACTATTTACAATAGCCAAGACATAGAAGCAATCTAAATGTCCACCAACATTTAGATGAAGGGATAAAGAAGATATGGTATATATATACAATGGAATATTATTCAGCCATAAAAAGAATGAAATAACACCATTAACAGCAACATGGGTGGACCTAGAGATTATCAATCATACTTACATGAAGTAACTCAGAAAGAGAAAGACAAATACACACACTATCACTTATACATGGAATCTAAAATATAATGCAAATGAACTTATTTATGAAACAGAAACGGATTCATGGACATAGAGAACAGACTTGTGGTTGCCAAGGGAAGAGAAATGGGGGAGGATGGACAGGACAGTTAGCAGATGTAAACTATTATATATAGAATGGATAAACAGCCATGTCCTATTGTATAGCACAGAGAACTATGTTCAGTACCCTATGATAAACCACATAGTAAAAAATACTTTTTAAATGTGTATCTCTGTATAACTGAATTACTTTGCTAAACAGCAGGGATTAACACGACATTGTAAATCAACTATACTTCAATAAAAAATTTAAAAAAACAAACAGTGCTCTCCTTTGGAAACAACTTTTGATCATAAAATGCTAAATTAATTTTATTACTTATTTATACAACTTGGGGGCATTAATAATACAGAAATATACAGGTCATTTAGTTATCTTTTATTTGAGGAGAATTTTGGAAGCCGATATATTTTAGGCCCATAATCTCAGGCTTTCACACCCCGAGAATCTAAAGAATTACCTATATTATTACACTACACTCTTATGCAGACAATGCAGGATTTTCTTTTTGTCTTTATGGGTCTATTAAATCATAGAATCCAAACTGTCACTTAAATAAAAGGAAATGCACAACTTTCTGCTTGTGGTATAAAATGTTATAAAAACAACTCTGATGATAGGGGAACCTGGAGGAGATCAAGACTGGCCAGGAATTTCCCCTTTGCCAGCACTGTGTGGTTGACATTGATTAACCCCCAAATATAGTCAGCAATGAAAGTACACTTAGTGCTGGCCTCCTTTGTATGTATAATGAAATGCACTAGATTATTCCAGTGCATAATCTCTGAAAACGTCATTGATTTTTGTTAATATCACTGCAGAGTCAGCACTCTCTATCCTTCCTGGACTTCTTGCTTTCCCAAATAAAGAATGAAAGCAAGGCTTTTCACTTTAACATGCCTAAGAATTCCTTGAAAGCTTGTGAAAACAGATTCCTGAATCTATCTCCATGAATTCCAATTCCGTAGTTCTGGGATGAGATCCAAGAATTTGCATTTCTAACAAGCTCCCATAATATGTGGACACTGCAGATTTGTGAACGATGATTTGAGGATCAGTGAAAAATTAAACGATGGAAGTGGTAAGATGCAGGTAACATCTTCCAAGAATTCTGAGAGAGTGGGTAGAGTGAAACAAGAGAACACTTGGATTATTTGGGGAATAAAGGAATCAGTGGTTCATGGTGATATTTTCAGATTAATTCTAGCTACAGTAAATTCCCCTTTTCAATTTCTAATAGAAGAGGATCTTTCCTGAGCTATCCGATTCTCTTCTCTCTTTCACACACACTTACAGACATATCAGACACTGCTGACTGTATGTTCAATGAAAAAAAACCAAAGCTTTGAAAAAAGTTGCATTCTATGTTCATTGGTGGCTTCTTGTTTATATTAAGTTACGTGGAGTTTCAGTGTGACTTGCAACTTTGCTAATGTCACTCAAAAACATTTTAATATTTTGTTTTTTAATTTATTTTTCATTTGGAGGAAAATTGCTTTACAAGTTTGTGTTGGTTTCTGCTGTACAACAATGCTTATCAGCCATAGTTATATGTGTATCCCTTCCTTCCCCTCCCCCATTTTAATATTTTAAACTAACAGTTATTTCACATATGCTGCCAAAAACTGTACATCTGTTATAGAGAATTAGTTGATTTCAGAGCATCTGTACCTCCGCAAAGGGACCTTTGAGTTCTTTTTTAATATTTAATTATTTGGGGCTATGCTGGGTCTTCATTGCTTTGTGTGGGCTTTCTCCAGTTGCAGCAATCAGGGGCTACTCCCTAGTTGTTGTGTGCGGGTTTCTCACTGCGGTGACTTCCCCTGTTGCAAAGTACAGGCTCTACACACCCAGGCTTCAGCAGTTGTGGTTCAGATGCTTAGTGGCTCAGGAGCTTAGTTGCTCCAGGGCAGGTGGAATCTCCCCGGACTAGGGATCAAACCAGTGTCCCCTGTATTGACAGGCAGATTCTTATCCAGTGGACCACCAGGGAAGTCCCACTTGAGTTCTTGACAGGACACTATAAAGGTTTTGTTGTATGATGCTATTCATGTCTAAAAGCCCTCATTTACCTTGCCATGTTTCTTTACACAGCACAAAGGATAGAATTTGTCTTGAATCCAATATTATGGGCATTGAGGCTACTTTACCCATTTTTTCCTTTTCTCTTTGTGTGTATGTGTCTGCCCTATGTAAAATGCAATGTGTTTATCCAATTTTGTACATAAATATAAGACTAATTAGTATGCAACCAGCATCTGGAGTGACATTTAAGGCTAAGATGATGTCCCCAACTCTAGTCTGTTTGAAGTATGAAGATGGAAGTCAGAAATTTTGGAAGAAGCTTGATATTTGATACATATGTAGTATATTTTGATAGCATCTTTCTTTTATCATTTATTTATTTCATTCTGTAAGCTCTGACTTAGGCAATCCCTTAGGTGAATGAAGACAATCTGGCTTTTTCCATGGGGTTCAACTTAGACTTCCATTTTTCATGTATTTTTATGGATATTTTCAAAGTTCATGTTTCTCTTTTCAAAGGAGCAAGCCACAGGCACTGGGGAACTAAGACAATGGAGCTCATTAAAATAGATGCTTTGGAGATATGAAAGTAACCTTGATCAGACAACTGACACAAGACATTTCAAGTGTAGTATAATTGTTAATAAAGTTTCACAATAAATTATTGTGTTAATTCAATAGGAGATCAACTAAAACTTAAAAATTTTAAGTGGATTGCTGTATTGATGCTGTGTACATTCTATGTATTGATATGTATTGAAGCAGAAGTGTAGATATTATAATACAATAAAACTAAATTGTTATAGAAAAGGAAAGCTATAAAATGCCATGTAAAATAAATCCCATTTATGCAAACATAAAATTTTATGAATAAGAACCATTTTAGACGGATAAAAAATGAATAACAGAAGTGTGAAGTACTTTGTGTCCTTCGTTTTCATGTCTATGTTACTATATTTGGATTTCCATCATAAAGCAGATTTAATTTTAAAAGCAGCAAATCAAAAAGGAATTTCCACTTAAGAGAAAAATCCCTCTTCACTTCCCAAGCTGTGACTTAACTAGGAGAAGTGGTAAGCTGGAATAAATACTCAGAAAATATATGACAGCTTGAATTGCATTTGTTTCTAATTATTCTCTTGTCTTAGCAATTCTTTATATAAATTGTGAATTCTAGTTATTATTAATGATAGCTCTTGTGTATTAAATTGAGAAATTAACATCACTAGTAGAACTTAACTCTCTAGTCTTATTTCCTGAGAAATTATTAGTTCCTTTTTAAACAACTTTATTGAGATATATGGGCTTCCCTTGTGGCTCAGCTGGTAAAGAATTTGCCTGTAGTTTGGGAGACCTGGGTTCGATCCCTGGATTGGGAAGATCCCCTGGAGAAGGGAAAGGCTACCCACTCCAGTATTCTGGCCTGGAGAATTCCATGGGCTGTATAGTCCATGGGATCACAAAGAGTTGGACACGACTGAGTCACTTTCACTATTGAGGTATATTTGACATATAAATAATGTATGTATTTAAAATGTACAGCTTGATATTTTGGTACGTATATGTTGTTAGATTATCACCATAGTCAAGTTAATTAATGTATTTATCACCTCCATATAATGACCATTTTATTTTTGTGTGTTTGGTGAGAAGACTTAATTCAAGAGCCACCTTCATAGTACATGACAAACACACAATACAGTGTCGTTCACTATAGTCATCTTGATGAATATTCGATCTCAAAAAACTCATTCATCTTACATAACTGGAATTTTGTACATTATGCTAGGTGAAATAAGTCAGACACAGAAAGACAAATACTGTATGATTTCACTTACTTATGGCATCTAACACGGTCAAATCATAGAAGCAGAGAATAGAATGGTGGTTGCAGGGGGCCCAGTGAAAGAATGGAAATACCTTCTTTGTTAAACACCTAATTTTTAAATGTCTTGATAACTTTCCCTTAAATCAGTCTGAGAATAGTGGAGTCATTCAAATGATGGAGAGCAGGGGTTAATTCAGATACCAGGATCGGCCATCACTGTCATGGTAAAGAGATGGTTTTCCCACTGCCGAAGAGTTTACTCAAAGCCTCATTCATATCTTTATTCCTCAAGCTGTATATGAAAGGGTTCAGCATGGGAATAATCACCATGTAGAGAATGGCAGCCCTGCTCTCCCTCTCCGCAGAGTGAGTTGATGGAGGAAGTAAATACACACCCATAAGAGACCCATAGAAGAGCAGGACCACTGTGAGGTGAGAACCACATGTCGAGAAGGCCTTCCACCGCCCTCCAGGAGATGAGATGCCAAACACAGCCCAGGAAATGCGGACATAGGAGAGGACAATCAGCAGGAGGGGAGCAGTGAGGAACATCAGGCCCATGATGATGATCATCAGCTCGTTAATTTGGGTATCTGAGCAGGCAAGCTTCAGGAGAGCGCTGGGATCACAGTAGAAGTGGGGAATGGCCTTGTGGGCACAGAAGGCCACACGGGTCAGCAATAGTGTGTGTGTCAGGGCAGGACAGTTGGTTAGCACCCAGCAAATGCTCAACATTAATGCACAGAGTTGGGGACTCATAGCCGTGCTGTAATGAAGTGGCTGACAGATGGCCACATAGCGGTCATATGCCATCACTGCCAGAAGTAAGTTGTCAAGGCCTCCAAACACAAGGAGAAAATACAGCTGTGCAAAGCACCTAGAATAGGAGATGGTCTTACTCTGAGTATGCATGTTGATCAGCATTTTGGGGATGGAGGCAGAAGTGAAGCAAACATCTGTTATTGATAGGTTGGCCAGAAAGAAGTACATGGGAGTATGGAGGTGAGGGTCAGAGGTGATGGCCAGGATGATGAGCAGGTTTCCCATCATAGTGACCAGGTACATGCCCAGGAAGATGACAAACAGGAGAGTTTGCTCCTCTGGCCGCTCAGAGATCCCTAGAAGGAGGAAGTCTGAAAGGGTGGTTTGGTTCACTCTGCTTGGTTTTCCCATCCTTTGTAGTTTTGCTATCTGTGCAGATAAAACACTTCCATGTGTCAATATTTACATATTAGATCAATTCACAGATAATATCTGTGTAGCCCAAACTGTTCCAGGAAAAAAAGAAGATGTGGGAAAATACACATGGGGCATTAGAGAACAGGCAAACCAATACCCATGCAAATATGAACTGCACCTTCACAGCTGTATATAATAGGATCCCCAGGAAAGTGACCAGTTTGACCAGAGAAGTCCATGTTGGCAATTGGAGGAGATAAGAATTGAGCATATCCTTAAAGGCAAGATTGGAAAAATCACTTTTGCTCACCAAGTAAAAAGGAAATGCATGATAATCCTTGCTGCCCCTCCCCTGACACCCACCTCTTGACATACACCATAGACAAGACAGTCTATTTCTACTGGCCTCCTCAATCCCTAGAACTTGACTTCACCCATTTAGCTCCACTCCCTGGACTCTTACTTTATTGGGGGCATGGGTATATGGGCTGAGGGCAGGGAGTGTCTATGATGTTCCATTCTCTGCATCCACAGTAAGACAACCAGCACAGGGCTGCCAGCCCTTGACCCTCATCACTGTCTCTCCTTTTTTGCTGATGTCTTCCCCTGTGGCACATCTAGACATTTGAAAACTGATATTTCTCTCCCCCTAGTCTCTTGGACATGAGCATGATTGGTACCTCTTTGTAGATGCTTGCTATGTTCCAGAGAACTTGATGGCATGGTTTTTGTTCTTTCAAGTCTGGTAGGTATCATTCTCCTCCACAATTCTGCAAATGGTACAATTAAGTCTTAGAAATATTTGATGTACTCAAGATCAGAAAGCTAATGAATGCGATTCAACAGCAGGTGTGTCCGACTTCAATGTCTATGCCTTCCGTCTACACTTGTACTCTAACTCTCTGATGTTTCTTTTCATCAAAGGGAAGGTAGAAGGAATCAGTGTCTGGTTCTCTGGGCTTGAAAATGGCCACTCTGACCTTCAGTTCTCCTAGGATTTGGAGCAAGCTGGTATAAGATGTCATTTCACATCCGCCCAGACCTTGTTAGATTTTGCCACTGCATTAGTACTCCATTTGTTTTTGGTTTATAGAGAGGCTTCTAATCTTAGGCATTCAGGTCGGCTACCCTAGAAACTTCTACCTGGTCCTTGTGCTGGGAAGGGAGCTGTTTGCACAAGTGTGTGTGTTTGTGCCCTACCCTTCCAGATTCTCTCACCTATCAGAGTGTGGACTGGTTTCAAGCATCTTCAGATTCTCCAATTCTCTCCTATGGATGGGAGATTCACAATAAGGAACTCTCTGAGATCTTTCTGATCTTGTAAAGCTGGGGTCTATGGAGTCCTGGGGTCATCAGGAATACCTGGAGTGTATAATGAATTTTTCAGACCTGGGAAGACAGGAGTCTTTCTTGGGGTTTTAAAGATCCCTAGGACATCATCCCCAAAATGCTCGTTAATGCCAACCTCAGTGTCCCTGTGCAGCCTGTTCTCCAGACAGTTCTGCTGGGGTCCTGGGGGAATAGAGGGCATCTCTTTCCCAGGGGTTAAGCTCGCAGATGGGTGACTCAGGGGTGAGATTCTGAGGCCTTTAGCTGGGATGCTGTGCACTCCAGCCTGACCAGCAGTCCTCCTGGGAACTCTTGCCTCTGCCCTGGACCATTTAATGTCTGTCCCAGGTTCTAGGTTAAACTGGATTGAGGGAGACAGTAAGAGCTTAAAATATAATGGTTCTGCTGGTGATTTCTCTAAATGGACTGTAGCCTCCCAGTCTCCTCTGACCATAGGATTATCCAGGCAAGAACACTGGAGTGGGTTGCCATGCCCTCCTCCAGGGGATCTTCCTGACTCAGGGATCGAACCCATATCTCTTATGTCTCCTGCATTGGCAGGCAGGTTCTTTACCACTTGTGCCACCTAGGTAGTACCTCTCTAAACAGAGTAATGCTAAGAAGCAACTCCCCCAAGTCCTAAACTCTCAGTTACATAAGGCAGCCTATGTAGAACACACCAGCCATAATATCTGATACATAACCACAGCAAAAATGCAACATCTTCAGTATCGTCATTAATACTAGTAGTACTGGGACTTCCCTGGTGATTCAGTGGTTAAAACTTCACCTTCCAGTGCAGGAGGCATGGGTTTCTCCCTGGTTGGGGAGTTAAGATCCCACAAGCCTCGGGGTCAAAAAACCAAAGCATGGAACAGAAACATATTGAAAAAAGTTCTATAAAGACTTTAAAAATTGTCCACGTAAAATATCTTTAAAAAAATACTGTAGCACTTACTGCAACTTCCATTAAATGATCTCAAGTAATACAAGTCTATTAGAATAAAGAAACTATTGTTATCCCTATTTTACAGATGAGAAAACTGAGGCCCAGTGAAGATAATAACTTGACCAACTAAATGGAGAGGATGGAATTCCAGTCGAGGTCTCCATGACTCTAGAGTCCACATTTTTTTTTTTTTTTGAGACAGATAGTGCAGGGTGTAGTATTGGCAGACTGGAAAAGAGACAGAAGGAGAAAATGAGAAGTTGTATGGAGACCTGGAGATGGAGAGTGTCCACAGGGGAAGGAAAGAAGGAAGAAAGGATGGAGTGGCTTGAGTCCATGCTCTTAACCACCATGCTTTGTCCCAGTGTCATTGTTGATTTTAATCATTAGCAATATCATTGGCTAGAGAAGGCAATGGCAAGCCACTCCAGTACTCTTGCCTGGACAACCCCATGGATGGAGGAGCCTGGCAGACTGCAGTCCATGGGGTCGCGAAGAGTCAGACACTACTAAGTGACTTCACTTTCACTTTTCACTTTCATGCATTGGAGAAGGCAATGGCAACCCACTCCAGCGGAGCCTGGTGGGCTGTTGTCTATGGGGTCGCACAGAGTCAGACACGACTAAAGCGACTCAGCAGCAGCAGCAGCAGCAGCAATATCACTGGCACAGAATAATCTCATTTTCTATGTGAAAAATCTCATTTTCTCTGTGTGTGCTTTTGGTTGCTAGCAAGATAGACTATATTTTTTCATCTGATTTTTAACCATGAGCAATTATTCTTCAAATTATCCTGTTAATATATTTGTCTTTTTCCTACTGGGGTGTTTGTGTTTTTAAAATGGATATTAAAGGCAATAAAACAAAATTAAAACATTTTATTTGGGGTGTTTTTTATGTCCTTTCGATTGAATATTTATAGTTTTTTTAATCAATTAACTTATTTTAATTGGAGGCTAATTACTTTACAATACTGTGGTGGTTTTTGCCATACATTGACATGAATCAGCCACGGGTGTACATGTGTTCCCCATCCCGAACTCTCCTCCCAGCCCCCTCCCCATCCCATACCTCTGGGTTATCCCAGTTCACTGGCTTTGAGTGCCCTGTTTCATGCATCAAACTTGGACTGTTCATCTATTTTTATAGAAGATTTCAAAATTATTTTTTTAGTCAAAATTGATAGATAATTAGCTTTGTATTTTTTCCCATTACTTTTATACTAAAATGTCCTTTGCATCCTGTAGATCAAGGAAATTCCATTTAGTTCTTTCTTCTGGTTTTAAACACTACACTAAGTTTTTCATTTACTTGCAATTTATGTTGCTATGGGGTGAGAAAAAAGGATCTATCTTTACTTTTAATTTTTCACATATAGCTAGTTTGACTGAGGGCATGAGAAGGGGGTGACAGAGGATGAGATGGTTGGATGTCATCATTGATTCAATGGACATGAGTTTGAGCAAACTCAGGGAGATAGTAAAGGACAGAGAAACCTGGTGGGCTGCAGTTTATGGGCTCACAGAGTCAGAAGACATGACTGAGTGACTAACAACAACAGCACTTTTATCAGTACCACCTTTTAGTAACTCACACATTCTCCATTTGTTTGTTAGGTCTGAGCACCTATACCCAGCCTTTCCATATATATCTGGGCTACTCACAGCACAGCAGCAGGCTTCAGAAATGGGGCATTTTGAGAGCAAACCATCTAAGAAGTCATGATGGAAGCCACATGGTCTTCATAAAACCTAGCTTTGGAAATCTGGGAATCTCGTTTTCACTGTCTTCTATAGAGCAATCAATCACTAAGGCCAGCCCTGTGACTAAGGGAAAAAAGTTAAGCTCCATCCCTCCATAGGAAGAATAGGAAAGAATTTGGGACCCTCATTCATTTAGCACAGTCTGCACTCTTGACTCAAACTATTTATATTCTTCCCAGATTCAGAATAGACTTGCTCCTTCTGTAAAGCCTCAGAATCCACATGGAATACAGACTTGTCTAACTCAATGAAAACTATGAGCCATACAGTGTAGGGCCACCCAAGACAGACAGCCATCCAAGACGGATGGTCATGGTGGACAGTTCTGATAAAACATGGTCCACAAGAGAAGGGAATGGCAAGACACTTCAGTATTCTTGCCTTGAGAATCCCATAAACAGTAAGAAAAGGCAAAAAGATAGGACATTGAAAGATGAACTCCCCAGGTCAGTAGGTGCCCAATATGTTACTGGAGAACAGTGGAGAAATAACTCCAGAAAGAATGAAGAGATGGAGCCAAAGCAAAAACAACGCCCAGTTTTGGACATGACTGGTGATGGAAGTAAAGTCCTATGCTGTAAAGAACAATACTGCATAGGAACCTAGAATGTTAGATCCATGAATCAAGGTAAATTGGAAGTGGTCAAGCAGGAGATGGCAAGAGTGAACATTGACATTTTAGTAAAGTGAACTAAATCAACTGGAAAAGGTGAATTTAACTCAGATGACCATTATATCTACTACTGTGGGAAAGAATCCCTTATAAGAAACAGAGTAGCCCTCATAGTCAGCAAAAGAGTCCAAAATATAGTACTTGGGTGTAACCTCAAAAACGACAGAATGATCTCTGTTCATTTCCAAGGCAAACCATTCAATATCACAGTAATCCACACCTATGACCCAACCAGTAATGCTGAAGAAGCTGAAGTTGAACAGTTCTATGAAGACCTACAAAACCT